CAACCAGCCCCCCCCCCCACCCGTACCACACAAGGAAACTGTGGAACCCGCAGAGGAAAGGGCAACCACCGGGGCGACTCTGCAACCTCCCGCCAATCCTGCCACAGAACGGCAGCCCTCAAAGAAGAGGAGGCGGGAGAGAAGCAGAAAGAAAGCGCAGCCTCCTCGGGCTGTTACCTCTACCCCGACACCTGGACCAATAGCCTCTCAGGCTCAGGTTACAGAGGAGACCACCAAAAAGGGCATGGGTAGAGTGCAGGAGAGGGCCCCACTCGTAGAGAGAGCCCGACCCACACACAGAGCGCGCTCTACCCAGAACCAAGAAGACCAACGCCCGAGACCAGCACCAACGCCTTCACATAGGAGACCACCGACGGCCGGCCTCGAAACAGCTGATGCAATCCAGCGCTTAGTTGGCATTGCCATCGAGGTCGGCACGCAAGTCCTGGCCGATATAAGAGCCGGGACTGACCCCGTAACAGCGATCATGAAGGCGCTGGCAAACCTCCTGGCCAGGCACTATGGAGGAGAATAACCTGCGCCTAATGTACTGGAACCCGGACGGTATACGGCAGAAGCTGCATGAACTCCGCACTGTCGCCCAGCAACAGGACATACATATCATACTGCTGGGCGAAACAATATTAAATCCAAAGACGCAAATAAAGCTGCCTAACTTTCATATCTACAGAAGGGACGAGGTCACTTCTCAAGGGGCCGCCAACAGAGGGACGGCGGTTCTAGTGAGGAGGGACATCGTCCACCAAGAGCTGGAATTACCATCCTACCAGACAATGCGTTCAATCGGCATAAGAATGGAGGCGGCGGGCGAGGAACTAAGGATATATGCAGCATACCGCCCGCCAGGGACTCCATTCTGCTCCTCAGACATCCGGACGGTGATGGAAGGCGATACTCCTACAATCATCGCCGGGGACCTGAACGCCAAACACCCGGCGTGGGGGTCCAGAGTGATCACCCCGCCGGGTCATGAGCTATACGAAGATGCAGAAAAGAACCAGTACGACGTTCTAGGTCCCGAGGAACCAACTCACGTTCCTACTGACCCACGGAGGCATCCGGATGTATTAGACATCGTGCTCACTAGGAACGTCAACTATCCGATAGTGGTAGAAGTGCTGTACGACCTTCCTTCAAAGCACCTCCCGTTACTGATAACCCTTGGCCTAAAGGCAGTGACTACGCCGCCTAGAGCTTTTAAAACCCGTGTCGACTGGAGGCTCTACTGTCAACATCTTCAGCAGAGACCTCCAGCACACCATCCTATAAGCACAGCGGACGACGTAGAGGCCGCTGCTACTAGAATTACCAACAACATCAAGGAAGCCCTCCACGCGGCTTCTACGGTCGTCCCGATTACAGCAAGGCGAGACGATCTGCCGCGTGAGATATGCGTGCAGATCAAGCGCTAAAAGGGCGCTGAGAAAGCTCTGGGCGCGTACTCGCTGTCCCAGAATTAAGACACAGCTGAACACCTTATCGGAGGAACTGTCGGTTGCAGTCCAGGCCTTCAGAGGAGAGGCCTGGGATCGGCGCATACAGAAGGCGGAAGAGCATGATGCGTCGCTCTATCGACTGAACCGGCAGTTGACCAAATCCAAACCTCCCATTTGCCCGCTGACTGACAATACGGGCAAACGTTGCTACGATGCCAAGGGCAGAGCGGATATCCTAGTCGAGCACTTCGAGGAGCAATTTATGCCGAATTGAGCAAGTGCGGAGTTTATGGAGCTTCATGCCCGCAAGGAAAGTCGGGTACAGGAGTTCCTGTCGTCGCCCGCGCCGCCTCTTGCAGGAGACTGGTTCATCTCCCCCCGCAGAATTGCGGTGGACAGCAACCTGCCTGCAACCGAGGAAGGCGCCGGGGCACGACAGGATTACCAACGCTGCACTCCGACAGCTGCCCAACAGAGTCATAGTAGAGCTTGGTCGACTCTGCAATGGGATACTGCGGACATCCCACTTCCCGGAGGACTGGAAAAAAGGCAAAATCATCGTCTTGCCGAAACCCGGGAAGGACAGGCGTAGAGCTGTCAGCTACAGGCCGATCACGCTATTACCACATATAGCTAAACTGTTTGAAAGATTGCTACTAAGACGTCTCCGTCCGTGCATCCAACTTCGGGCGGAGCAGCACGGATTCAGGAGGGGTCACTCCACAGTCACTCAACTGACTAGAGTGCTGCACCTGCTTGCGGCAGAGTACAATCGTGGCCGCATATCGTTGGGCGTCTTTCTCGATATCGAGAAGGCGTTCGACCGGGTGTGGCACGCAGGACTATTATATAAGCTGAAGGAACAGATCAGTGTCCCTCTTGCTATACTGCGGCTAATAGCGTCTTTCCTGGAAGAAGGAAGTTCTACGTCTGCGTAGAGGACGCCGAATCCGCAACGAGAACCATCCAAGCCGGCGTCCCACAGGGCAGCTGTTTGTCTCCAGTCCTGTACGCGGCTTACACCAACGACATACCTACACTGGCAGGCAGGCTTCAAGAGTGGGAGGACGACGTTGAGCTGGCACTATTCACGGACGATAGCGCCTATTCACCTCGTCCAGAAGAGCCCACATAGCCACTGCCAAGATGCAGCGTCTGCTGGACCTGCTGCCACCATGGCTGGATGAGTGGAGGATGGTCGTCAACGTTGGTAAGACGACCGCTCTGCTCACTCGCCGTCTCAGGAAGTTTCCACCTCGGCTGACCCTCAACGGCCAGAAGATTGCGTACCAGAAGGCTGTAACCTACCTTGGGTGCAGGATCGACAGGACGCTGCGCATGACCGCGCACGTCGACTTCGTCGTCCGCCGGGCCCGATGTGCGCGGGCGACGCTCTTGCCGGTCCTGGCATCCAAGCTGCCCATACGAACCAAGCTCCGGATATACAAGATGTATATCCGGACCATCATCACCTACGCTGCACCGGCCTGGTACGCACTTCTGAGCGACCCTCTGAGGCGGCGATTACAGGCCCAGCAGAACCTGACATTAAGGACGATCGTCGGAGCAGGTCGCTACGTCCGGAACGACGTGATAGCGGCTGACTTGAAGATCGAGAACATCACCGACTTCGTGGCCCGTTTAGCGCGCGGCATGTTTGACCGTGCCGATAACGGGCCACACGAACACCTTAACGGCTTTGCGCCGTTACACACCCGGCCACCGGACGGGCGACCTCTTCCAAGAGAACTCCTCTCTATATGTGATTAGAGAGTTGAGTAACAACCCACAATGCCGCAGAAAGGCCAACTCAGACTTACCAAATAACCACCTTTTCCGTAGTTGGATAACTACGGAAATCAAATTACCACCACCACGGAGAAAACCCGTGTATGCTATCGAGCCTAAAAAAAGGCTAAGGACTGTCCCATAGTAATGGGATATGAGGACACCCGGGCAATGGGGGTCACCCCGAGGCCCGATACCTGCATTGTCCTAGGACATTGTAGACGACATTCAACAATACAAATAGTAATAAGGATCTCCTAGGTGTGTGTTATCTGTAGTTAGCAGTGGCTGCAAATAACCGCCCGTTCGACAAACTCCGCCGATCGTTGAGTCCCGTGATTCCGTGAGGCGACGAGGTCACCGGCCCCTAGGTGATTCTTGACACTTTATGCGTTACGTGCATTTTGTGCCCAGTCGCGTTATAAAGTGCCACCATCGCACTTCCCCCAACCCTTTTGTTTGCAAAAGGGGTAGGCAGTGCCCAACAGTGATTACGCCAACGTGTTTTAAACCTGCCATCTGCGTCGCGCATCGTGCCGAACGGCTGGTATTTTGGATAGGGCCACTTAGATTACCTGACTGACCCTTAGGTAGGCTCTCAGCATGTCCGATAATGACAAGGGGGAGCCCCCACCTAAACCAAGAAGACCACCGGACCGTCCTGGAGTACTGGATCGACCAATCGCGTACCGCGAAATCTTCCATCCGGAACGAACTCGAGTAGTGTCCTCCTACTCGCAGATCCCAACACGGAAACCTTCGTCACCAGACAAGGAGCCCGCACCGAGGACCGCGCTCTCGCCCACCGTACCTGAAGGTACGTCTGGGCGTGAACCGTTCCCCCAACATCAACGGGCTAAGAAGTCGCTGAGAAGGCACACTCCACCCGAGACAGCAGCATCCCTTCCCATCCCAGACAGGAAAAGAGGTAATGCCTCGGATCCTCCAACTCCTCGGAATATTCATCTGAGGAAGAATACGACCAGCAACCGAACAGACCCGTACGGAGATCACCACCTAAATCGCCATCGCCGATCAAATCAACTCCTCCCAGAACACCGGAACACCATACCAGCATGGATGCTGTTGACCTGGAACAGGGAGGAGAAGGGTCATACGGGTGGAGTGCAACCACGTACGCGACCCCAGCGCCAAGTACATCTGCCGGACGCTCACCGTCCGTGCCTACAACCAACCCGTCAGGCCGGCCATCGGACGCTAGCCAAAGGCCTTCGACTAGTTATGCCCAACTGGTAGCTGCCCCGGCAGTACCAAGGACAATGACAGCTGAGGCACCTAAACCGCCGGAAGAAACGGCCAAAAGATACCCACCTATAGTGGCTGAGTGCTTACCGGACGAAGCATTTCGAGGTGCTGAACAAGAAGTTGGGTCACCCACCGAATGCTCGCCCATTCGGTAAGGGGGTCAGATTCACCCCTCAGAGTCCGGAAGAATTCCGGACGGTGCAGAAATATTTAATAGAGATGACCGATAAAGTACCAGCTATGTCCTGGTACTGTTACACCCCCGAGGAGGACAAGCCCACGAAAGTGGGCATACGGGGACTACCAGTGGGCACGGATCCATCTGCAATAGAGGGGGCTATCAGGGCCAAGGGGTTCCCTATTAAGTACGTAAAAGGGACCCCCCCCCCCCCCCGTAGACGCAGACCTGGGTGCCTCTACTTCGCGCAACTGTACCACCTGAGCCTGGAGTGCCTCAACGAGCTTTACCAGATCGACGAGCTCCTCTTCATGAGAAGAGTCGTCATAGAGGCCTGGCAAGGAAAAGCGGGCCCATCACAGTGCCACCGCTACCAGGCCTTTGGCCACGCATCCACCAACTGCTTCAGACCAGTGAAGTGTGTTCGCTGTGCCGGAGATCATATCGCCAGCAACTGCCCAAGGGGTAGGGATGAAGAACCGCGATGCGCTAATTGCGCTAAAAACCATACTGCCAATGATCGCCACTGCCCAGTCCTGAGGAGGATTGCAAGGAAGCAGGGAATAGCTCTACCGGGATTACTCCCGGAAGAGCCCAGAAGAGTCCCCCAGAGTCGTCCCAGGGCCGTAGTCCAGGAAGACGGGTGGACTACAATTAGAGGAAAGGGAAGGCAACCTGCCCCCCCTCCACCCGTCTCGGCACCCACAGAAACGGTGGTGCCAAGCACCCTTATATCGAAGGCAACCACCGGGGCGATTCAACGCCCCCCTGCTAACGACGCAATCGAGCGCCAAACCTCACAGAGGAGTAAGTGGGGGAGGAAGAAGAGGAAGAAGGTGCAGCCTCCTCCTCAGGCAGCAACTTCTACCCAACCCCAACGGTAACGATAGCCCAGGCGCAGGTTACCCAGGATAAGAAAACTAGAATGGGTAGTGTCAGAAAGGGCTCTATCTGAAAATAGAGCCCGCTCTACATATAGAGCGCGCTCTACCCACACACAAAGACCAGTGCTACAACACCCGAGACCAGTGCCAACGCCTTCACAGGCTACGAGAATACCATCAGCCGGCTTCGAGACCGCTGACGCCATCCAGCGCTTGGTTGGCATAGCGATCGAAGTCGGCAGTCAGGTCCTGGCAGACATCAGAGCCGGGACTGATCTCATAACAGCGGTGATGAAGGCGCTGGCAAACCTCCTGGCTCGGCACTATGGAGGAATCTAACCTGCGCCTCCTCTACTGGAACCCAGGTGGAATCCAGCAGAAGCTACAAAAACTCCGCACTGTCGCCCAACAACAAGACATACAGGTCATCTTGCTGGGAGAGACAAAATTAAATCCGAGTACACACGTAAAGCTGCCTAATTACCACATTTATAGGAGGGACGAGGTCACTTCTCAAGGGGCCGCCTACAGAGGGACGGCGGTTCTAGTGAGAAGGGACATCGTCCATCAAGAACTTGACCTACCGGAATACCAAACTATGCGCTCTATCGGCATAAAAACGGAGGCGGCGGGCGAGGAACTTAGGATCTACGCAGCATACCGCCCGCCAGGGACTCCATTTTGCTCCTCAGACGTCCGGACGGTGATGGAAGGCGAAATATCGACCATCATCCTACCTAAATAAAATTTAAGGGGCTTTACTGAATCAATTCTGCTGGACTATCTTGTCTCACTTAGAGACTTTAAACTTAACCCAGGGACATTTTTTCTCAGAATATCCCACCTTTTTGTGGATGACGAAAAAAAATTATATAACTCTTGCACAAGATTAAAAAAGTTTATTGTAGCATCTGACACTTTAGAGGCGTCATTTACTGTTAAGTTCAAAGTATGAGCCGCACAAGGTACAAAAAGGGCTCTCGGATTCGCGTCAAGAATGCGTTTTTGAAGCCCAACATGTTGTCCCTTCATATTTGCCCCATTATCAAAACCTTGTCCCCTAATATTTTTTTTTAAACAGTGTACATGCTGGCTTACAGTTTGCCCAAAACGTCAGCATGCTAATTAACAAATTACAGTTTTAAATAATAGTAATAATACAAGATACATGTCAAAAGGTCAAACAAATTAAAGAATACATGTCCAGTAGATCAACTAAATACCAAAAAAATACATGCCAAATAGATTAAAAGTCAAATAAGTTAAGCAAAATGTCATTGTCAGATTGATTACATAAGATAGGATTAAGAGAATACTAATAATATTACAATTTGTCAAAATGGGATGTCAAAAATAGAAGGGCTTTATTACACAGTTGCCCTAAGCTATCAGCAAATAAATCGGTCTCGTTATAATCTGCGAGCATGTCTCCGATAAGCCGTATAGCACGAGAAGTGGGCGCGTGAGCGCCGTACCTGGTGCATGCCGGCGGCTGCCACAAAAGGCGAGGACGCCGCTGTGGTGCCACCGTCCCCTCCACATCACAGCCCAGCCGCTTCGAAGCCAACAACCCTACTCTACTTAATATCATCGAACTATCTATACGATTATGGATGATTGCTAGGTAGTGTGTTATCAACTGCATAGTTCGCCTAAGTTTAAGCGTGTCCAAACCCACCATACCATTAACAAATAAGGACGGATATAGATAGGGGTAGTAACCGTATTTCTGTTTATATCCATCGTGCAAATTTGCGCTGTATTCTCTCAATCATCAAAATATATTTTTCCTCATAGGGATTCCATACAATGGCACCGTACTCAAGCTTACTACGAACATATGCATTGTAAAGTACCAAAGCGACCTCTAATCTATCAAACTGTGAAGAAGTGCGAATAACGAAGCCAAGCAATTTACTGGTCTTTTTACATACAGTAGTCACATGGTTATAAAAAGTCAAGTTTAGCGTCTAACAATAATCCTAAGTCACGAATTTCACTTACCCTTACTAAGGGCGTGTCAGATAATTTATATTCTTTTTTTTAGTGGACAGCGTTTACGCGTGAATGTTATTATTTTACATTTATTACTATTAAACGGAAGATGATTTAATACACTCCAATCCATAACCGCATCGATGTCCCTTTGCAATGACTCGCAGTCAGACGGGTCATCTATACCTAGGCTTAACTTGAGATCATCCGCGAACAACAGACATTTGGAGGCAGTCACGCTATTCGGTAAGTCATTAATGAAAATAAGAAAGAGCAAAGGCCCCAACGTACTTCCCTGGCTCACTCCAGATCTTGTGTAATAGTCACTAGACTCAAATGCACCCACTTTAACAAACTAACGTCGATCGCGTATATAATTTGAAAAAAACTTGACGAGTGCCGGGGCAAAGCCTATCACCGCCAATTTACGCAACAAGATATCGTGGTCGACCAGGTCAAATGCTTTCTTAAAATGTAATTACGCAGCATCCACCTGCCTACCAGCATCCAATTCAGCATATGTATAGTCAAGATGAGACACAAGATTGGTAGTTGTAGAACGGGTAGTTCGAGAACCGTGTTGACTATCATGCAATAATTTTTGAGTTTGCTTATTAATTTGCTGACATAAGACAGTTTCAAATAATTTTGCAAAGACTGACAAGACTGCAATCGGTCTAAAAGACGAAACGTCATTTTCACCATCAGTTTTTGGAACCGGAGTAACCCTAGAAACTTTCCAAATTTCTGGATACTTATACTGAGTTAGTGACAAGTTAAAGAGGTACAGGAGTGGACTCTCGAAAGCGGATATGCAGTCCTTTCTAAAAAAACAGGGATACCATCAGGGCCACATCGACCTCGGTTTTAGCCGCCTTACTGCTTCCTTCAACTTGGTATTATCAATAGTATTTATTGTGATACAGGTGGAGTCATATTGACTATCTGCGGCACGTACCGCATCATCATGGTCCAGTTCGGAACTTTGTTCTGATATACCGAACTAAAATAGTTCGCAAAAGCGTCGGCCGCAGATTGCCCAACAACTTCGACACCACTGGAAGAATAAGCATTCATACGCTGCCTGTGATTCTTCCTATTCTTAACGTACTCCCAGAATTTGGCCGGGTCGTCAATAATATTTTGTTGAGTCAGATGTAAGTGCTGCTTAAATGCATTGTCAATCAAGTTTTTATATCTAAATTTAATTTTTTCAAAATTTCTGTCATAAATGTATATATACCTTTCCCTCTAGAGTCCAGTATACCCTATCTCAGTGGCCCCCGCCGCTTCTACAAGCTCTGCAGCCCCCGCTGCCACCTCTGCCCCCGCAGCCTCCGCCGCTGCCGCGATCCCACTCTTGTCACTAGACATCCCAACTCCGACCAAACCAGCCTCTCGATGTGCTCCAGTCCCCTATCTTCCTAAGAGACAAGGCTCGATTCACACAACTGTCAAAAACCTGTTACGATGCCGGCATCAAATACGACCATGCCATTAACCTCGGGGAGGCTATTAAAATCATCCCCAACTCGATCGTGGACTTCCGTCAACTCACCAGGCTATTCACAGCCGAAAGAGTTTCGTATCACACGTACGCTCTTCCGGAAGAGCGTAAAGTCAGGGCCGTCATCCGAGGCGTCCCTTTTGAATTCTCTAACGACGACATCCTTGAGGACCTTAAGTCCCAAGGTTTCCCCGTAGAAGCCGTGCACAAAATGCACAGTAGAACAGGCAAGAAGTTCAATCTAGCCCTTGTCATCCTAACCAACGTGCCGGAGGCAAAAGCCATCTTCCAGCAGGTACGCACGGTGTGTGGCCTGTCGAGGGTGAAGGTTGAGCCCCCACATAGGCGCGGATTTCCGGCGCAGTGCCACCGCTGCCAGCTATATGGCCATGCGGCGGCCAACTGCTCCGCCCCACCCAGGTGCGTTAAGTGCCTCGAACCCCATAACACCAAAGAGTGTCCTCGGCCCAAAGACGCCGAATCCCCACCCGCATGTGTCCTGTGCAAACAAACAGGCCACCCGGCAAACTACAGAGGCTGCCCTTGCGCACCCCATCCTCGCCCCAGTAGACAAGCTCCACCGCCGGTTAATGACCGCTCATTCCCGGCTCTCTACCAACGGCCCCGTCAGGGCCCTTCTCAGCCCACCCAGGGCTTCTCTCGGCCCCCTCAGGGTCCCCCCAGGCCCCCTCAGGGCATTATTCGGCCCCCTCCGGGCTTCTCAATGCCTATGCAGCCTCCATTCTTTCCCTGGGGTCCCAATAAGGCAAACCCACCGCGGACAACCTCCGCTCCACAGCATCAACAATCGCAGCCCACTGTTGAAGACCTGGAAACGATTTATTCCGCTATTAGGAACATCGAAGTTAGCGAATTCGCGGTGTTAGCACGCAAATTGCGCGCTGCGAGGTCCCCTCAGGACCGTCTCCTCGCTCTTACAGAGCATCATAATCTTTTGTGCTCGTTGTAAGTTAAGTTAACTTAATTAACTTAACTTCAATGACAGAACAGTTTGTTCTACCAAAGTCTCACGGTCGTATCAAACCTAAGGGTTTATCGCTTGTATCCTTTAATATTCGCGGTTTGCGAAATAACCTCCCAGAGCTTAAGCTCTTTCTTCGGAATCGAGAAGCCGATTTCCTCCTCCTACAGGAAACTAATCTCAAAACTAAGGAAACCAAAGGCCTTTCTATTACAAACTTCTCTTTTCTTCGTAACGACAGACCCGACCGCCGAGGCGGCGGAACGGCCATCTATTACAAGAAGACACTTCACTGCTCGCCAATTTCTACTCCGCAGCTTACCAACATGGAAGCCACGGTGTGCAGGCTAGCTATGACTGGACATCAGTCCATCCTCATAGCCTCCTGTTACATCCCTTCAGGAACCCATCCCCTCAAAAAAGATTTTGAGGCTATTTTATCTTTAGGCAATTCAGTCATTACGTTTGGAGATTTTAACTCCAAGCATACTGAATGGACATGCCGTACTACGTCCCCTAGTGGCAAGATACTGCTCGATATCACGCAGTCTCTTGATATTACCGTCCATAGTCCCCTCGGTGTTACTCACTTACCCGATAACACCGATCACGCCCCCGATGTACTAGATTTTGCGTTACTCCAAGGAGTTTCTCTCAACCTCAGAGCAATCGAGACACTAGACGATCTAGGATCCGATCACCGACCGGTCTCCCTCATTCTCGGATATCAGCCACCTCCCCCAACACACACGAAAACCTTCACTAATTGGAAGGGATTCAAGGAGTCCCTAGCTAAAGCTCTGGACTCACAGGACTCTACCATCTCTCTACCGTCGGACTTAGACAGTCCCGAAAAAATCGACACCGCGGTCGATTCACTCTCCACCCTTATTAAATCTTCCCTTAAGGAGAACGAAAGGGTCGTCCCGGTTGCTAACAATAGTAGGCTTCCCCTACATATTAGCAACCTATTAAAAGCCAAAAAAGCTGCTTTCCGGAGAGCAGCAAAATATCCCACCCCCGAATATAGGCGCACGGCCAATCGTCTTCAACGAGAACTCCGTTTCCGCCTCTCTGAATTTCGAGACCTCGAAAAGAGTAAACTCGTGGAGAATATCTCTCCATCTCATACAGTGTACTATCAGATGGCTAGAGCCCTCCGCATAGACGCTATCACCCACACTCCCCCTCTCTCCCGTCGCGACGGTACGGTTGCCTTCGAGGACGAGGAAAAGGCTGTGCTTTGCAGATAGCATTGCCGCACAATGCTCTCCTAGCTCTCAACCCGTCGACCCCTCACACGTCCAGGCAGTGGAGGATGAGGTCCGCCGCCGGAACTCACCCCCTACAGCCTCCGAACCTATCTCTGTGTCCAATGATGAGATTTCATCCCTCATCAAAGGACTTAAGCCTAAAAAGGCTCCGGGCGCGGATGGCATCTCCAACCAAGCTCTAAAACACTTTCCTGAGCAGGTGTTAACCTTTTTTTTTTTTATCTATTATCTTCAACGCCTGCTTCAACCTTAGTTACTTTCCCACTACGTGGAAAGAGGCAACTATGATTGGTATTCCCAAGCCAGGCAAGCCTCTCAACCTCCCCTCGCTATCGCCTCGTATGAGACGCTATCTGTTTCCCACAGACGGTGACCCTCTTATCACTCCCCATCAATTCGGTTTCCGAGCGCAACACTCATGTCCCCAATTGAGTTCACCCTATTGTGGAATATATCCTCAGCGGTTTTTATCCTCGTCGTCATAAGACCATCGCGGTCTTTTTCGACATAGCTAAAGCCTTCGATAGAGTCTGGCATACAGGCCTTATCTACAAGCTGTACAAAATAGGTACAAAAACCCACATAATGGTTTTTAAAAAGATCGATAGCATAAAAACTAAGCGAGTTATGGATAAAAAACCAATTACTTTTTTAAACTCGTACAGGGTCTTTGACTATATTTACGTGCTTCCTACCTTCCTATAGCCTTTATTATGTCAGATAGAAAAAAAATGTTTTATGCAGAAGTTGTAGGTTTTTTCCTACATTATCTATTGAAGTTATCAGATAAAAACAGGAAAGAGACAGAAATAGGAAACAGATAGGAATAGGAAACAGTTAGGATTCCTATAAAGGGTTAACGTTGATAGTATAAAGTGAAGTAGGGAACACTTACCATTTTATAAAAAATCAAACCTTTGAATTTGCAGTAAGCAAGCATTCAGTACTTAATTTTTTAGAAAAAAAAGTAGTTAAAAAAATATTATACAACACAAGCAAGCTCAGGTGGTTAGCGCTCGCTGTAAATTTTACAGTACGCGAGCGAAACGGGTTCGATCCCCGCCGGCACCAATGAAATTGTTAACTACAATTTTAAGTAATGATTTCTTATATATAAAGTAAAAGTAGTTTTAATCATGTACAATTTTAAGTGCTAATTTACCACGTGCTCGGCGTTGAAGGAAAACTTCGTGAGGAAACCTGCATGTCAGAGAAATAAGAAAAAAAAATATTTCCAAGACATGTGAAGTTCGCCAACACGCATTGGGCGGCGGACAATTCCTTGCCCTAAAACCCTCTCAAAAATGAGCGGAGGCCTGTGCCCAGCTGTGGGACGTATATAGACTGTAACTTTACTTTTACAACACTTGACAAAATAAAAATTATTTTAAATGGAAAAATTAATAGGATTACTTGTTTTTATGCATTTCTGGCACGGTCCAATGAACTAACCGGTTTAAAAACGCTTCTTTTTTTTGCGCCCGAAGCAAATATGGGCAACCCTCCGGAAAGCGGGGAGGGAGGTTGGGAATGCTCATAGCATACCACGCAGCCGGCTGCGTGGTTATGTGGTGACTTTTACCCACTAAACCCAACCTTTTAGGAATTGGCTTAACGATCTGACTAGAGATCTCTAAGCCGTATACGAACGCGAATCTCCTTGGCAGAAAGGAGGGCGCAAAAATACTTCTGGCGATGCATCGCTTTTATAGCGCTCCGGGCATTATTCATGTCTGAACAGGAAAAATCAAGAAACTACCGCCTGACATGTTCTCGCTACATAGGAATCGGCAATAACTGGATGATATACTAATAAAATTTCTTGTGTATTTATACCTAATCCTATTTAATTTCTCAACTTTTATTTTAAAATTAATTTTTGTTTTTTTTTTTTTTGGAAATTTTTGCAATTTTGACCCTGGGTTTTGGCTCCCCTAACGGATGCCGCCTGTGTGCATTGCACACTTTGCACATATGGTAGCGGGGGCTCTGCGTATACAAATACATATGGAATTATTTCACTTATTTTTGCGATTTTATACGCTTTACAGTTTTTAAGCTCGATTGTGAAGAACATCTCTATTAATAAAAAAAAATATCGCTAGTAAGCATAGTATATAATAGAATAGAATCATTTTCATTCAATATTGATTACATAATATAATTCTTATTGAGTCATTTTTTAATTTTACCACTGGTTCGGAAATAAACCTCTGTCCTGGAAAGAACTAGGAAGATACCCAGCGGGACACTTTTTTTTAAACATAAATTACAATATAATATTTACACAATTGTTATAAAGATATTAAGAAACAGTATGGTAGCGATAACCTTAATTCCAGGGGTTATTATCAATCATGTACTCTTTAGTAGTGTAATAACCCTTAGTTAACAATATTTGATTAATAAATATTTTAAGCCTTTTGATAGATAAGGTCTGCACATTTTCTGGAACTTTGTTGTAGAAGCCTATACATTGCCCTATGAAAGAATTACTTACCGTAAAACCTGGCAACTTTGCCCTTGGGATTTGACTTTGCCCAGTTGGGTATTTTTTTGGTAAACTTGATACACAGCGAATTTGACATAACTTAGGAGTATTTTTTTGTCTGTAGTATAAAATTCATTATTTTTCTAGCAACACTAAGTGATGTTATGTCATCTATGTAACTTCAGTTGCCTGTCAGAACTTGTATAAGTTGGTAGTGTTTTTTGGTGGGCAAAAACCAGCACAAAAACTTTACCGAAAAGTGATAGTTGCAGTAACAGCAGGTAAGTAATTTTTTTACAACCGTAAATATATTTAAAATGGATAATATAGACTACTATTTACGCAAAAAATTTCATAAATTCACCTAATATGTTGGTGGGCAAAGTCACACACTTCTTTTTTTGAGCATTGTTGACAACATTGCCCACCAATTTATTACCCGTAGGGTTGTCATCTGTAACTTTTTCATTTGCTGTAATTTTTGTTAGTAGCACAAATGAAAGATCTCGTCGATCGTATTTTCTACATATAGTATTCTACGCTTCTGCGTAATTCCGCATTTTGTAACCTTTTTTATTATTTGTTTTTATAGTTTCTCAGATATATTGTTTTTGTTTTTATAGGATGAACAGTAATAATAATTCAAATACATGTACAAAAAAGAAAAAGAAATAGAAGGAAACTAGGATCCAGAAATTACAAAAACTACTCTAAGGAAATGTTGGATATAGCAGTAGACCTAGTAAAAAAAAATGTTATTTCTAGTAGACAAGCCGAAAAACAATTCGGGATACCACGGAGGACCATAATAAATAAGGCAAAAGAAGTGCACATGAAAACGGTTGGGGGACAAAAACTACTAACAGAAATCGAGGAAGACAATCTTGTAAATGTTCTGGTAGCTGTCAGTGACTATGGTTCTCCAATGACCAAGTTAGACCTGAAAATGCTTGTTTTTAATTATTTAGAAAAAAATTCACGCAGTCATATTTTTAATGGAAAAATGCCCGGAAAACACTTGGGTAGAAAATTTTTTTAAATAGACATTCATCAAAATTATCAGTTCGAACTACACAAAATATAAAAAAAGGTCCGGGCCGAGAAAGGTCTGCTAGAAATGCAAAATTTCTTCGATAATTTACAAGCGACGCTGAAGGATATTCCACCTAGTAACATCCTTAACTACGATGAGACTAATTTGTCTGATAACCCGAGTAATTTAAAATGCATTTTTAGAAGGGGCATAAAATATCCCGAAAGAATTTTAAACAGTTCTAAGAGTTGTGTTTCGATTATGTTTACGGTGTCTGCAGCTGGTGACTGTCTTCCAACATATGTAGTATATAAAGCTACAAATCTATATTCCGAATGGGTTGACGGAGGTCCTGATGGAACTCGTTACAATTGCACGAAATCGGGTTGGTTTGACTCTGCCTGTTTTGAGGATTATTTTAGAACAATTATACTAAAGTGGGCAAAGAATCTTTCAGGGCCAAAAGTCATAATAGGTGACAATTTGTCTAGTCACCTAAATATCGAAGTTGTGGAGCTATGCCAAAAATATGATATTAGGTTTGTGTTTCTTCCACCTAACTCCACACATCTGACCCAACCTCTAGATGTAGCGTTTTTTGCCCCTTTAAAAAGAGAATGGAGGAAGGTACTCACAAATAACAAAATTCAAAATCCGGAACAGTCAACTATTAATAAAAAGCACTTTCCTAAACTCTTGAACGAATTATTAAAAAATATTAATCTCAGAGAAAGTAATAATATTAAAAGTGGATTTAGAGCCGCGGGAATATGGCCAGTTAATGCCCGAAATGTTTTGAAACGAATACCTGAGTATTTTGACGAAGAAGTGTACAGAATAGATTCAGCTTTATTAGATTACCTACAAAAAACAAGGTGTTCTAAACCAATGGCAGTGAAAAGGAGTAAGAAATTACGTACAGAACCAGGCAAGTCAGTTTGTGCCGCCGATATTTTAATAAAAACAACTAGTAACAAAAGTGTTCAAAATAAGAAATCCAAAAGATTTGAAAACTATCAGGATAATTTTAATGATATAGAAAGCAGCAGGCAAGATTGTGAGATAAATATATTAGAAGAAGTGACTACTGAAAGAGACATAGAAGAAAATGAGCTCGTATTGGATGGTAAAATAGGATTTTTTTTAAAAAACACACCTGAACATATTGAAACTACCCAGAAGATAGAACATGAAGGTATAGTTTTTCCGTCCAATAAATCTAAAAAAAATGCCTTCGACGTCAAATGAAAATGTTTATGGAAATAATTTACAAATGTTCCTATGGTCAAATATATCCCATGTGCTTTATAATCCAGATAGTCTCAGTAAAATCTGTATAACAGTTATAAATAATAATATGATTTCCTTAATAAATTACACTACTCCTCTATCACCAAATGATGTGCATTTATTAAGCAAAAATCGAAAAGGTGACAAAGAGAACTTGCCATTTATAGTGATAAATGATAATGATTTGCCACCATGTTTGCAATCAACAAATCAAACAAATGTTATAATAACTTCCAATGTAAAATTAGACTGTAAGGAAAGAAAAACACAGAAAAACTTAAGGATCCAAATAGATGCTGGTGCTAAAGTTATTACGCAATCAGCACTGAAAATGAAATTATTTACAAGGGATAAAATAAACAATGATTCAAGCGTAACGGACAAAAATAATGAATACATAAATATGCAAAAAGAAGAAAATACAACACGAAAACGAAAAAGTATGACTAGAACCACATGCGTAAAGCGTGAAAAAAGGAGTAAAATTAATAAAATCAAAACAAAATCAAGCAAAACAACATCTGTGAATAAGAAGAAATTTAAAAAAAATATTAGTGAATCAAGCTCTGAAATTTCCGACTTTCAATTGAGTATAGCAGAATCAGATGATTCGGAATATGAAACATTAAATGACTACATAAAAATCTGTTTACAAGATCAGTCGGAAAAAAGAAAACTTGGAGCCGGACCCGATCCCGTTTGGGGTCATTGATATTGAGTATTTCACAGGCAATGTTGATAATTTAAACGAAGGTGACTGGCTCATAGCAAAATTTGCTACAAAAAAAAGCGTCAAGCACTTTGTTGGACGGATTTTATTTATTAAAAATAATATCCCTACAATAGAATTTCTAAGGAAAGTTAAAAATACTGCAAATAGCAAAAGATTAACCTTTACGTATCCACCTGTCAAAGATATTTATGAAATGCTTCACGTAGATGACATTGTTCTCGTCTTACCGCAACCAATAATTACTAGAAGGGGCCAAGTTGTGTTCGAAGTTGATTTTTCTACTTATAATATACAATAAACTTATTATAAAATATTAAGTTACTAGCTGTTCCCCGCAACTTCGCCTGCGTGGATTATTTTCCGCGAAACCCTAAAATAAAAGTAGCCTAAGTTGCTCCTTATAAAATCAGTTATCCGCCAGTGAAAGTCTTATCTAAATCGGATCACTGGTTTTTGCGTGATGTGTGTCCAAACAGATGTTGTGTTAGAGTTTTAGTATAGTATAGAAGAAAAGATAAATATATGTTGTAAACTAAAGTTATTTTGTTAAGTACAAAACTTTACTGTTAAATTGTTATGTTATTATTATAATATAATGCAAATTTAGTCTGAAGTAAAATAAGAAACTCTTTGTTTATCTATGCTTAAGTTTTACTTGATCTCAATTGTAACAATCGTTCCTATAAGACTGAGAATATTTTGTATAATAATTAAAACATTAAGAATAGCTGCTATTATATTTACGTAATTAAAATACTAATTATAGATGACATATTTGATTTGTTTATGAAAGATAGAAGAAGACAGTTAAGAAGATGATTACATCCTTTAAAAATCCCTTAGGTGTTTTTGATATTTAAGCTGGACCTATAATATAAGCTAGTTTGATTATAGTCGCAAGTAAAATTATTGGGTACACAATACACCTATGTTTAAGTGTTCCTTGATTTCGATTTTAAATCGAAATCTAAAAATACCCAAAGAACCTGTGCTCAATAATATAAGTTTAGGTATTTTTAGTTTATTCTATTACATGTTGTACTTTTATTCCTTTTATTCTTTATTGTTAATCGCTACGTAACTCAAACAAACAGTATATGTAGGTACACCGTTGTTCTTTATTTTGTATCCATTATGATTGCACTTTTTGAATTTATTACGTCAATAAATATTTTATCTATAAAAAGTTTTCATTTATTATTGTAATAAAGCATTTTTTTAATGGTGACAGCCCTTAGACGTTGATCGTTATTGTAAGAAAAATGTTCTAGGTGGGTTTTTGACTTTGCCCACTCAATTTTAAAGGACAATGAATATGACTATTAAACTGATATTTTAATATAATACTGCATTGCTCTACATTTATGTTTAGCTATTTTAAGATTTTTGATACGGTTTATAATATCGGAAATATTTAAAGTTGGCAAAGTTGCCAAAAATCTATGAATTTTTGCCCACCACATATGAATGTGTTTTTTACAAATATACATACAACTTTCTGGATATTTTAAGAAATAAATATCGAGACATGAACTTAAAGTACTGTGTGGTACAAATATGGTATGAAACATATAACGGGTTTTCAAAATAACTCAAAAAATGCAAGAATATTCTCATTTTTAGGGCAAACTTGGCATGTTTTACGGTACTCTTTGGAGTCGAATGACTGGTATCACTACTTGGGCTTGTTCCTGATATTTACAAAATGTTCATCACTGTTTTTACTCGAAATGAAACTATTTTTGTTGTTGTCGTCCTAAATATATTGATAGGCCATAGTTAATATATTTATGTCTTTAAATTTTTCTCTAAGAGATTGCTTGGGAACTAGGTTATAAATTGCTCTTACGGCTCTCTTTTGTTAAACAGAGATAGTTTAAATGTCAGTCGCATTATCCCATAGCAACATTCCATATGACATTGACTGCGTGAGTGATACCAACTACAACGCAACCGCGACGCAACCAGACGGAACTAGCGGCCGCTACTAGCAACAACGCAACCACATCGACATTTTGTCGCACAACCACAACGCAACTGCAAAAAGCTGCAGCGACACTATTCACACGAAATCATATTTTGTCGCTGCGATGTGGTGTGGTTGTGGTTCGTGTGAGTCGATCCTTAATTTTATTAATTACAGGGTCCCAAGAAGGTGGTACCCAGCCTCCATATCTATTGATATTAGGATGTTTTTTAATTGCAATAGCCTCATGTATCGTGCCTGATGGGAATATCGATGTTCTTTAGCGAGTATTTGTAGTCTATCAAATCGGATGTAATGGTGGGGGCCGTCTAGGATATGATCGCAAACTGCAGACTTCCCGGAACATCGATGCTTCACGTCAGCTATATGTTCTTTGACTGCCTCGTCGATCTAGTGGTTGTAGTAGTGCGACTACTGATTATGAGGTCCTTTGTTTGAATCCCGGGTCGGGCCAAAAAATTAATAATTGAGTTTTTCCGTCAAGAAATTCTCAGTAGTTACCCGTAGTCAGGAAGTTGGCGGTGTCTCACCCCCATGCCTCGGAAAGCACGTAAAGCCGTTGGTCCTGCGCCTGATCTCTCTCCGGTCGTGTCGGTTTACCGTCCCATCGAATTATGAGAGTGAGGGAATAGAGAGTGCACCTGTGCTTGCGCATACACTTGGGCACTATAATCCTGTCCTGCACCGATGGCTAGCCTCCATTGAGGCAGGCCGTCGTGGCCGGAATTCGGTCTGGAGGACATTATTATTATGTTCTTTTACACGAGTTCTAATTGATCTTTTTGTTTGGCCTATATATGAGAGACCATATTTACAATCAAGTTTGCATACTCGTGCATCTTGTAGAGATATACGACACTTGACGGATGGTAAGAACTGACCATGGAATATAGAGGCAAGGAGGACAATCTCCCATAGGAAAATAGTTGAAAATGTGTCCATCTGAAAGCAGTAAATAACAGTTCAAAAACTCTCCACAACAGCGCTCTACTCGAGCGGTATGATAAATCAAGCAACAGTGGTATGATAAATCGCCGTAAAATACGTTGAGAGTGGTTTTGAGAATAAAAATTTTGAAAGCAATAAAATAATTATTGTAAAAAGAATTACGGTAAAAGTCTATGCAATAAAAACAATTATAAAAATTTAGACTTTTTTATACAGAGTCTGTACTCCTTACTTCTACACTCCATAGAACTGACTAATCTTCTTCGGCGGCTTGTAGAATGTGCTAATAGAAACTCGCTTCAAGATGTAGCCAATCTTGTCTGTAACACCTCTGATATATGGTAAAGCATACACACGCTCGACTGTGGTCGGCTTCACTCGGTCTCTGCAACTATGGCGCGGCACCCGAAGCTAGTTGTCGTGCAGAACCTGCTTTAAGTCGGTGGCTTAGAAGCAAATAATTGCTTAGCTTTCCTATAAGTGTTAGTCATTCGAAATCTTAAAACTTGCTTGAAAACAAACTAGCTTGCTACATATTTATTTATCTGTGATAATAATTACTATATCTGAAGAAACCAAAAATGTTAATTTTGTGGTATATTTTTTTTTTGGTTTGACACCTTACAGTAATTATATACATATAAATCTGAGGTTTGCGTAATTAATAGAGTTATTAGGTAATTGATTAAAATTAAATGACTAACTATTAGCAGAATTATATCAAGAGAAACCATGAATAAAAAGAAGAAAAAAAATGACAATTGTTCGTCAACTTTTTTCATGTTAAAAAAATCTACTCAAAGTATTTCATACTATTAGATTTTAACGTAAATTTATTATTGCTTTTTGATGAGTTGCAGTTATTGTCAGTTCATAATAGATAGTTTTCGTTTGTAGGCATTTCCTCGCGATTGTGTATAATTTTTTGTGAGATGTGAACTCTGTATTAGATATTGTCTATAAATTAACCCTTAACCACAGATAAATTAATTCCGTATATTTATTTCTAACCTTAGAGTAATTACATACATATGCATATACGTATGCATAGAGAGAACCTACAATTCTACATAAATTGAGTTGGTATCTTGTCTTGCTTTTTCTAATTTTTTGGCAGATGCAAATATATATTGTTAAAATTTTTCCTGAATAAAGAAATTATTATTATTATTATTAATTTGATTTTCCAATAAGGCAAAAAGGGACAAATCTATTAAAATATGTTGTGTGTAATTCACGCGTGGCAATAGAAATGTCAAGTGGTCATTTTTGGTCCCTTTATACAATGCC